TAAAACCCGTTTTTTTGTCAGAAACCACAATTATATTTTTTTTTATTTGGGAAAAATTGGTGGAAAGTGTGGGAGAAAATCGGGCGCGTTTTCATTTTTTGGGGGGAAAAACCCCCCCCCCCCCCCCCCCTCCCGCCATAATCTGCACGCCTGATCATATCTATATTAAACCACCTCCCATGTAGCTCAATCATAATTAACTCATACTGTAATTGGAATAACAAAATGTCCCTAACTGCAACCACAATGGTACTTTTTACGAATACTTTGCTTGCAGTCAAGCTTACGTATTTGTGTAATGGCATTGTTTCGTTAAATGATTCAATTAGCACTATAAATTCACGCTATAGCTGTTCATACCTCAATGAAAAGTTTTATAACCTGTGCGATGACATCAACATATTCTATTTGTGACCAAAACAAAAAAAAATCAAGGTGCGAAAACAAAGAGATATTTATACCTAGTAAATATAATTTCACACTACCATTACGAAGAACAAAAGCAATGCTACTAGAAAAAGAGGATATCAATATACAGAAAGAAATTGATGTTTAAATGTGTAGAACATAGAGTGAATACGCAATACGAGAAAATTTTATGCAGAAAAAGATATATAAGTATTAACAAGAGTTTTCATCTGAAACAGAAAAAACATTAAAACCAATCTGAAAAACGCGTCTGAGTCTCTAAATATAGTTTATCGAGTCTTTCAATTTCAACAAGTTGAGAGTTGCTTGGTTTGATTAGTAGTACCTTGTAATCGAAATATCGTAAAATAACCAAATCAGCCAAACGATTTACTCGCGACAAAGGTACATAAACTGCGGCAATATCATCAATTTCATGTGACAGTTTTAAAACAATCACAACTTTATTCAAAGTTTGAATTTGACTCTTGTGTGTCGTAATACAATAAGCAGGTACAAGTGGTAGTGTCTATTGTTTAACCGATAAAACTGCTTTTCTATTTAATTTTGGTTTTATACTTTTTGGAAGAATATTGACAATATCAGCTCGAAATGTTTGTTCTATTAACGGTACTGGAACGACTTTTGGTTGAAGTTCTCCGAAACTGCATTCAATCTTTGATTGGGCGATTTCGACTAATGCATATAAAGGTCGATGAGCGTATTGTGTGTTGTTAGAAAATGCTTCGAAAATAACATCGGTTGACACAGAATCTACCGGGTAGACAAGTTGTCGAAAGATTCTACTCACACCGTTGATAAGACCCAATTCAATAGCAATATTTTGCGTTAAAATACCAGGCATTCCAGGAACAAGAGGCAATAGACTTGGTAAAGGCTCGGTTTTGCTGTCGCATAGTTCTAACAGTTTTTTAATCAGTGTCGGATCCTCAATTGGTTTGCCTTTACAAGTGTCTTGGGCAACGCATACCATTGGTGTGTGTCCCAATTGGGCTGCTTTGCGAATTGCTGCCTTGTGGTTCAATTATGTTCGTACTCCATTTCGGAACACTAGAATAGGAGCCTAAAAAGACGAAGAAAGATGGTACATTGTCCAGAAGTAGAAAAGAAAATTTCCTTTATTCCATGGTGAATCACGTAGAGAGCCTATGGAAGGTTGGCCAACTACCCATGTTAACAGTAATTCATAGTCATCATAATTACATTGCCGATGACGAAGTCGTTCGAGCAGCTGAAGGTACCGTGTATCCTCTGTTTGCATCTGTTGAGTAAACTTTACGACAAAGTTGATTTGAAGAATTAAAGAGTGTGCAACACAATGTTGAATTTGTTTTTCAGTGAGTATCTTGCTCGATTTACTTTTGATCGGTAACGAAAAATTGGTATGTAATGGTGCGTCGTATACAGGTCGATACTGTAAGTAGTCGCCGAAGAAGATGACATTTATACCACCAAATGGAACATGAGGATCGGCATATTTTGCAGCACAGATGATTTGGTTGAGTTTCGCAAGTAGAGCTAAACCAACCATACTCATATTATTAATTAAGAGATATTCGACGGGTCTCCATTCCTTCTCGAGTTTCGAATCACCTGGTTTGATAGTGCACGCCTTTTCACAGTTACATTGTTCGCCCAAAAATGAATGAGTGGTCATACCATCTATTTCAGCAGCAGCAATACCCGTGGGTGCAAGCTTCCGCATCATTTGCATTCTTTTTGTAACAAGAAAGTATTCGGTGAGAATCAAAATCAGTTGTAATTTGCCTGTGCCACCACATCCAGGTATGCACATTATAAGCTGACCATTATTGTCGTCTGAAAATGGAGAAATCGAGCCACAGTGTTCAATTTTCTTAATATTACAATTGTTTAGAGACACTACAGTTACCACGGCACTTTTCATAGCATCCAAGCCCAACGTGCCATCCTTGTCTTTAGCATAGTTATCTGTAATCAAACTTCTTCTAATCCGTTCTTTCGCAATCTTCAGCAGTTCTTGCCATTTTGTATTCAGTCGGGCAAGACTAAGTGTTGCTGAAACGAATGGTACAATTTGCTCATGGTTATAATCAACCAAATGTCTGGAAGAAGATTGATCATGTGCTATCACAAACATTTTTGTTATTATTTCGATATTACTGGTCATATTAGTAAATCATCCAATGTTCTTCACTGCTTCGATAGTTTCTTCAATATATTTATTCTCTGTTAGCTTTTTCGTCGCGTTATACACAGCAGCTGTGTTTTCACCGAAATTGCCCAATAGCGCCAGTAAGTCATCGCTGTCGTCGTGCCATATTCATCATCGGTATCGTGATTTGCCGGTAAAAAGTACAAGATCTATTAAGTCATTGTTGGTTGGAGCTTCAGCAATAAATTGAAGTAAATGATCATCGCGATCCGTTTTGCATTCATGAAAAAGTTGAATATTTTCTATGATCGTCGACGAATGCATCGAAATAAGATGTTGTCGAGATTTAAATACATCTTCTCATGTCTGATTGATGTCACAAAGATCAACCACGGTACGCCAGGGCACAAAAAGCGTGAGAATAGTTCAACAATATCGGTCTCGAATATCATCAGGATCTCGTCAAGGTATATGAGGACAATAAAGAATAAGTACATGAGGGTGACTGTATTTCATCATTAACTATGTTGTAGCCTGGTGATGCTGTTTTTGAAAAGGAAATCACTCATTGCTAGTTTATTTCAATTGTACTATGAAGATAAGTTCCCTCACTGTCTTCATTGTTCAACATTCATTTTATGACTTATTGAACATTATCTTTAAAGATCTATTATTAATCAATGTGTATTTATGTGTTTAACTCATGCATGCATGAATCTAATACAGTCATACATGAACTTATTAGTAATAAATTTATTATGCGTTATAGAATATAATTATATTTTATTGAATTTGTCTAGTATTGATATGTTGTGATCAATACTGTGAATTAATAAATGAAGGAAGGCAATATGTATTTTTTTATCCTGTACGATAACACGTGCAACATAACGGTTCTATATTGATCGATGTACAAAATCCATTCTAATTGTTAAATAACAATTTCAGTGTAGATGATTCGTTCGTACGAAGAAGACTGATTTTTAAGTGTTTTGAAATTTGCAAACGATTTACCTAATGTATTTCCGATATTTCCTTTTGAAATCAAAAAATATTATAAACACATAGAGATATTGATTGATGTAGTTGAAATTTCATGGCAATGCGTGTCTTATTCATTTATTTGAAATGATATTAATAAAACATGCTAACGGGATGATTTATAATGAATCATGTTTATTTTAGAATTTTTCTGTCAAGAGAATATGCCAAAATCTGACGATGAACAAGTACAATATGAACAACATAAATGATTGATCGATGGAGTAAGTTCATTGCTTATTTCAATAATGGATGCAAAAGATGAATAGTTGAGTTCATGGATGTTATCAATTTTTAATCATGATTTGTGACTCCAAAAAGACATGACAAATAAAAAAACTGAAATAAAGAAATGTCATTGGTGTTGGGTGCTACTTAGGTCGATAGATAGATAACTAGAAACATTAACCATACGTTCTCTCATCATCTTAGAAGATATAGATTAACTGTCTCGTGAGCAGAACAATTTTTTATTTATTTTATGCACTTTTTTATATTATATTCATACCTAATAAACATCTAGTTTTTACTCTTATTCAATATGAATGTATAGATAAAAGGTCTATTTTTCATTTCTTGACAGAACTTCTAGTTATCACTTAATCATAGACAAAGAAAAACAACATTGAACGGCATCTATAGTCAAAGGCAACGAAGATAATTTAATGAAGCGAATAAGCAGTTGAAAAACCTCTCATGATTTCTCCCGTCCGCCATTTAATGTCTCGATTCTAAGGAAATACCCTAACAGAAACAATAAATAGTGCCATCTATTTACACAGAATACTTTTTGGACCAAAATCTGATGTGCAATTTGAAAGAGAATAATTTTCTACATATAGTACTGTTCAAATAATCTCGAGCCCCTGTCGAGACTCCAGATGGCGCATACAAATGCATTTTACGACTCCATTTGCTCTGACAGCGTACTACAAATATGAAAACAAACTGACAAACAGTTGAGATGAACTACAATGTGCGTACAACTCAACTCACTATCAAAGAATTGGTGAGACTTCTTAAAGTTGGGTGAAGTTCTGCAGAAAATTTCTGATGTTAAATCGCCAATAAATTATCAACAGTCCAATAATCGGCATTCAAAATAAGTTGTACAGATACAGATGTATTGGAAAGATATATTGGAATAGTTTTAAGAAAAGTACCTAATATACCTACATATATAAATGAATATATAATGAGGCATAAAGAAACCTCTGAGTAGCTTTAGCGGGTGCTCATGAAGAACGATTTCTGCCGAGACGCTTTCTGTTGCTTCAAATATATAAAAGCTTTTTTGATTAAAAAGAAGAAGCACTTCTAAAGAGGTCATAAGAGTATCAAAATCTTTTTATCGCTTTCGATCGAAACGATAAATCTGATGCACCCAACCCCGTAAAGTAACTGATTGATAGTGATAAATTCCTTCCCTTAATTCAAGAGAACATATTCACGAAATCGAGAATGATTGAACATCAGACTTAATAAGATTTTAGAAGATTAAATGTATACAAGGTGGTTCGTAAAGTCTTAGTAGAAGATCAATTTTTAAGTCGTACTCTTAGCATTATTGCTAGACATCAAAAGATTCTTTGGTAAAGCTCGAGCAATAATCTTACAAGAGTCATAAAATATGGAACATACAACCGCATCTTTTATTATATCAACCTGACACATAACAGTAGAGATACATTTATCTCGCTACACACATATATATGAATGCGCAAAGCGAAGAGAGCTTTACAGAATTAGCAGTTTAGAAACACAACGACAAAATCATACTTCGAAAGTACAATCTGGTAGTTCAGTGATTAAATTAGGCACAATTACAGATCAAATATAAGCACCAATTGCTAAAGAAATAAAGCTGAGTACATTACACAAGTGGATCCATAAGGACAAAACTATGTTGAATTATGCAATGATAGATATACATGTTTATGACTTTACAAAAAAGTACATGATGTGTGAAATATACTGAACTAGATATTCAAATTGCTTATGAAGAATAGAACACTACGCAATGAAAATTAATTTTGTAGATAATATAAAAAAATTTAATCAAGCTTTTCCATCATTTTGGCATAGATTCTGTAGAAACGATAGTTTTTCATGAGATTTTTCGAGTAATATTGTATGAAATGATAACTAATAGTTGAGTTTATATTGAGACATCCTCAATCTCTTACATCTACTTTATTAGAATAAATAAATATATAGTACAAGAAGCAGAGAATCTCACAGAAAAAAAAACAGCAGATGGTTTAATCTGTTGATTTATTTGAACTTCGAGATGACTTGACATCGCTTACCATCGATGAATTACTTGCTATTTGAATTATTCTTTTCTCTTTGTGAATACGTTCTCGTGTTGTATACATTGAAAAAGCAAGTATAATTAATAATACTATACAACAAGATCCACATATTAAAAAAATATTTTTTAATGACATTCCATGACTATCTCTTTCTTGTTCATACAATGCGTTTTCTTCTTCATTTATATCAAATGGATCCCATATTGATGTCGTTGTAAATATAACATTACGTTGAATACGTTGTTGATTGAAGAATAATTTTTCTAAAATAAGAAAAAGAATGATTTTATTATTTTTTTTTACATCACGAAGAGCAGCAACAGACCACCAACTGATTCAGAAGTGTTGAGTAACAAATTCTTTTTGTATTTTATTCAACTTACATAAAAAAAACGAACGATTGACATAGACTACATCAATTAAGATGCCGATATCAAATAATTCTAGTGAAAGCCGTATGACTAAAACCACAATTCGTCTGGATCCAACAGAAGTTCAAAGACGACAACAAGCGCAAAACACACAACGTATAACAACTATATCGAAAAATAATGATCAATCTCAAACTGCTAACGATCAATTACAATCAACTGAATCTTATCCATATAAAACAAGAACATTTGCTAACACAGACACATCTAAAATATCTGTATGATAAATAAAATAATTATTTGTTTATTTTTATTTCATTTGTTTATTTTTCTTTTCAGAATACATATCCAATTGTTGAAAGTCCTTCATTAAATCGTGGTTCTTCACCACCAATCATTAGTCGTGGTAGTCCACGTATGTTTCGTGTTAAACGAGTTTCTCGTGCTCCACAATCTTCACCACCACCACTACCTGCAAAATCTCCTGAAAAAGAAGTAACAACAAAAAGTGTTATTATTAAAGATACAATAAGCCGTGGAACAACACCTCCACCAACTTCTTTTTTCGATACTTTTCCTAAAAATCAAACTGTATATTATCCAACATCATATGATATGAGACGTCAACAAGCAGTATCGACTGTTCGTTATCGAACACCATCTCCATCAATTCATCCTACAACAACAACAACATCATCAGAAGTAATTGTTCAACAACAACCTCAAACAAATGCTTCAACAACAACAAAAACAACTACTCGCATTTTAGATGCAAAAACTTTACCAACACTTTCTGATGATTCTTTTATTGAAGAAACAAAAACCACAACAACAATTATTAAACCGATAGAAATTCCAACAGCACCAGCAGTAATTACATCATCAGTTACAACTGTTCCTCAACCTCAACTAGCAACAACAACAACAGTTGTACCAGCTGTTGCAACAACAACAATTCGTGAAAGACCAACATATCGTACGCATCGACGTCGACGTATACGAACAAATTCACCATCAACACTTTCAACATATACAACTAGTTCAACAGGTTCATATACAACACGTTCTTATACAACCAATTCAACAATCACACCTCGACCTCATATTATTAAACAACATACTATTTTACCACCACGACCACCTATTCAAACAACAATTATTAATGATCCACCAACAACAATTGTACCTGAACGTCGTTTTATTCATCATGCTCGTCGTACACGTACTCATAGTGGTTATTATTCGTCGGATCTTGATTTTGGAAAACGAAAAGTTTATAAATCTGATTATAAATATCGTCATTATTATTATTGTAATTGGTGTAAAGGACGTTGTGATTTACCAAATAGTTCATGTAGTTGTTGTGAATGGTTTTATGGTTGTCCATTATGGGCATTAATATTACTTGGATTATTACTTTTTGCTTTAATTGTAACATTTTTTACTTTACTTGGTTTGCAACCAACAATAAATTCAGCACGTCGAAGTCAAACGGCTGAAACAAAATTATTAAATCGTACACAGATAATTTATGGTTATTTACAAAACTGTGGTTATCAAGCAAATGCTCCAACAACATTAGTTTTATGTTCAAATACTGGAACAACATCAACATCACGTATTGAATTATCATCTTATTATATGACATCGAAAAGTATAAAAAATTCATTTTATAATAAATTTTTGATTTTAGTTTTCTTTTGTATTTATTCTTACTTTTTCGTATATATAAATTGATGAAGTTTTGAGATGAATTTTTAATTGAAAATAAAATATTTTTCGTTTTGTCATTATGAATATTTTTCATTTATCTACTGTTTTGAATTATTTGTATGAATAATAATCAATTAATATTGGCGCATTTGAACGGAATTTGTTTCTTTTTTTTTAAGATGTCAACTACAAAACAAATTAGTCTTGTTAACCTTAATGATAATGATGTTGGACAAGAGTTAATATTAATTATTATTATTACTAGTGCATTCTTGTTGGTGTTCTTTTTTCTATGTGCAATTATTATTTATTATTATTTTAGTAACAATACAGGAAATAAAGAATTATATAGATTAGAACTTGATAATCGACGTCATATTACTAGAAAGATATCGCATGTGTCAACATCAATTCATAATATAAGAGAAAGACTTGACGAACCATTTACTTTAAATAATTAAATAAAACTGTTTGAAACAATTGAATATTATTTTTGAAATCCTGTTTTATGAAACATCCGTTTTTATTCAACGGTAAGAAGCGATGAAAAAAAAACTGTATTATAGTTTTTTTCAATAAAACCAGAAATTATCCATCACTTTTGACCTCATATTTTCGACATATAGAAAGGATTTGTAAACTGGAATACAAAAAAGTATGATTCGGGAGCATATTCCTTGTCTACAGAGAAGTTGACACATATATATATCTCAGCTAATTTTTTTTTCTGTTAATTATTTTTTCGTGGTTGTCCTGAGGGTATGAGAAGATCAATACATTAAATATAGAATCACTTTCAGCGAATATTGACCTCTCTATATATTAATGAGTAGTATCTATCATCAAAGAGCACTCAGTTACATACTTATTTTTTAGTATAAACTCTTTTTTGACCTTATATTAGTCTAGATATTCTTTCTAAATGCTAAACATATGAGGTTCAAAGTGATGAATAACTTCGAACAGTAGTCTCTTGTGTAACAGGATAATTTTCATATATTTTTTTCTACGTATAATCAAACAACGAGCATATCTTTATCAGTGATAAAAACAATAAATCATGTGTTAATCACCGATCGAAAAGAAGAAATTTTCATCTGAATTGTTGTCCATAAATAAATCTCTTGATTCTTAGAATATGCTGAAAGTTTCAATCAAATCAGATGCTTCTTTCTCAATACATTCAATACTGAAGAACAGCTGGTTTTATGATCTTTTTTCTGGCACATGATTATTTGTTTTTTTTAATATGAATATTTCGAGAAGAAATCATCCTCACTCTAAGTCCTACTTATGAGCAACATATCAATTCGATCGGTGATTAACGCTTTGATATATGTTCTCGTTAGTAACAGTAATTATAACAATTCATAGTCTAACCCTTAAGATAAAACTTGGTTTGAAATACATAATTGACAACTTTGACTCTATGAACAAACCATAATGCATAATAAATACTACTTTATTATAAGAAATCATGCATTCGGAAATTTCTATCAATATAAGTGACACTGAAGAACACTTCACGCTTCAATTGGAATATTTTTAGTTCTATTTTCAAAAAAAAACAAACGTTTTCTTGAGTTTCGATTTTGTCTCTAACATGTGATATTCTATGTTTTCTGCATCAAAGCTAAATATAGTGGTAATTTTGCAGACAAACCATTCTATATTTCATATTTATTTCGTCAAAACAAATTTGTTGTTGATAAAAACGATCGTGCTTATTTATTATGAATACAATGAAAAAAAAGAATGTTAATTTTTTCAAAATCGCTCGTTATCATTTTCCAACACAATTATAGCAGGTTGTGGTGCTGTCGTTATTGCTGTTGTATTAACCGCACCCTGTAGATTCTCCTCTTTATCCTCATTTTGTACATCATCAGCATTAAATACCGAATTTTCATGTATATTTTCCGACATAATGAGTGATTCTTTATCGGGAATAAAACGTGTACGAATAGCAAACAATAGTACACCTACATAACATAATATTAATGCCACACCAGTAAGAACAACCATAACAATGATAGAACGTCGATCAGCTGAACTCAAACCATAACTTGTCTGACAATTATTGCATATAGCTGGTATTGAAATGTTATCAACTGTCTTATTCATTGCCCTTTGAATAATGAATTTTCATTTTCTTTTTTCACATAATAACCGAAAAAAAAACACTCAGGGCAAAATAGTATGAACCGAAAAACAAGGTCTTCAACTCCATTCTCTCATAAAATGTGTATAAATAATGATGAATATCTTAGCAATATGACTGGCAAGAAAAACGTGAGAAAAAAAAAAGACGAAATAACGAGGACATTGATTATTCTTTTTTTTTTCGACAAGAAAAATAAAATTATTAGATGTCTTATCAAAACATTTAGAGAGAGAATAAATGAGTTACATATATATATTTTTTTCTCTATTTCTTTTTTTTTTTCTTGTTTTATTTTTCTTTGTAAAGGACTACTTGTATTGTTCACCATTTATTGTTCTAAAAAGAATAAAACAAAAAAAAAAATACAATTTTAAATTACGAAAATAATCTTAAGAAATAATTTACTTACTCTATGTCAGTTTTTCAATCAAAAATATGTCTCAAAAGGTCCATAACTGGCCTAGAAATGAAAAATTATAATCTATTTAAAAATGTAACTTTTTAAACTATACATAATATGGGCGTTTCCGTTGATAAATTAAACGATATTGTGCTTCATTATCACTTTCATCATCATCATCATCATCATCATCATTATCATCATCATCGTCGTTATCATCCTTATCATTTTCATTAAATATATCTTCAAGATCTTCATCAATCGATAAAATATTTCTATCATATTGTTCTGGTGATTCTATATTATCTAATGGACTATTAGATAATTTTAATAAAATAGGATAACGGTTTTTTTCATATTCATTGTCATCTTCAATATCATCGTCAAACATTGGAACTAAATAAAATAAAATAAAATGAATAAATTATTCGATACAATTGAATTATTTACCCAGGCTGTCATCATTTTCATTATTATCGCTAATCATTGGATATTCTGATGATTCATAGAATGATGGTGCAAGAGCTGAACGAATATTCCGTTGATAGACACTTGGATACCAATAGAGTGGACTAATATAAAGAAAAAAAATCATATTAAAATATTAAATAAAGTTAGAAATCTTTACGCAAATGAACGAGTTGGACGAATATATTGATACCCATCGATCAAATCAACATATGGGTCGTAAAACTAAAATAAAAAAGAATATCTATTGTAAAATCTTTCCTTATCAGAAAAAAAAAACTTAAAATGAAAAGACTTTTTATGCTTCTCATCGGTTGTTTTGACACGTCTTACATTAAAATACTAGGGTCAAAAAAAACTAGATACATGAATAGTAATATTTGTGCGTCGGAGTTTTTCTTTCCTAATAACATATGAAACGAACCAACAATCAAAGAATAAGTGTAGGACTCTTTATTTCCGATTATACCATTCAGAACAATATGAACTCTATTATTTATTAAACTAAATAAAAATAAGAAAAAGAATTTTTTAATAAACATTACATACCGAATCAGTATCATAAAAATTGTATGGTGATATAGATCGCTTACGTCTTGTATTTAATTCATCATTTAATTTAACATCACGGCGTCGACGTACAATATCTGTTAATTCACTTGGAGTCATTGTAATATCAGAAAAAGCTTTTGAATCATCTGTGTCAACTAGTTCTAAAAAAATAAAAAAAAATAGAAGGATATATATATATATGACATAGAAAAAAATAATCAAAATAAAACATACTATCTGCATTGTCATGAATTTTAGCTGTTGTTTCTTGTACTTTAGTATGAAACTTATGACCGATGTTATTATCAACATTTTCATATTTAAAATAAGGTAATTGAGAAGAATCTAATTCATCATTTTCATAACTTTCATTATCTAAAAGTCGACCCAATGCATCATCATCATTATCATCATCATCAATATAACGTTTCTTTTTCTTATCAGTTATTTCTGGTGTTATGGTCGATGTTGATAAAGAGCTTTGAGAAACTGTAGTCGTTGGATTTGTTGTAGTACTAGTCGAGCTTGATGTAGTTATTATCGAATGAATAAGTTTGTGCAGATGATGATTGACAACCTGTTTATTTTTTATCCAAGATGGTTGACCGACTATGAACGTTAAATATAATATTGAATAAAAATTTGATTAGATAATTATCAAAAATTGAACTTACTGTCTTTAGTTTTCTCAATAGGAACCGATTGAACAACAATAGTAATGATTACTAATAATAATCCAGAGGCTATGAAAGATATGTGAGATGCCATCTGAAAAATGTCTCGATTATATCTTGTTATATTGTTCCACGTTGATTATGATTGTTTCTGCAAAACTCAAATATAGAAATGAGTTCTGAATTAAATAAGATATATATATATCTATATATATATATATAGATGTTTATTTATTTGTTTGTCTATGGAAGAAGAAAGGAAAAAGAGAAATGAGGAAAAAAAAAGAGAATTCTTTAGTGCTTGTTGTTGTCGTTATCAAAGTAGAGTCAAACGACCATAAGGATTTTTCTTTAGTATTATGTTCAACATCGTCGTTTGTTATCGTTCTTCTTAGCACTCATGAAGAATAGGACATTCTCTTTCTTTTTTCTTCTCAGTCGGTCTTTGAGGAAAAAATTCTTTCAAGCGACTGAGAGATCTAGTCTATATGTGGAGAATATAATCAAACTCTCAATGAATGAATAGTTGAACGAATATATGTAGGCAATGTTTAATGGGCTTTTTTTTTCTTCCTTTTATTCTTCTTTCCAGTTACCAAAAAGAAATGCTCATGCTCGTTTTTCCTCTCATCAATATGATCATTACGCGACGACGTAGATTGTCAAAAGAAAGCCAGAGAATGTCTTTTTTTTTCTTTCTAGAAAAATGAGACAACAAGAGAAAAATCATATTCATACTATATAATAAAGTCCAGGGTTACGACATGGTTAGGAAATCATTTGACATATGTCATAAAATTCTTTGAACGCACTTAAACAAAGTTATTCATTTATTTTTCTAGTGTTTTTCATATTCCATCTGTGCAGTTAACAAAAATAGAACAAAGAAAAAGGACAAAGAATCTTGTCAAAACTATGTATCATATATTTATATATTATTCTAAATATAAACAATAATTCAATAATCAAATATTCAATTAATGATTGAATTTATCGAAAATAATATTATATACATTACGAGAGGCTTTATATGAACGATCCAAATATTTATGAATAATGTTTTTTTTTGTCTTGCAAAAAAATATTTTTCGAGTACGAAAAGATCTTAAGCCTAATTTGCTTAATTTCGATAATTAAAATTTTAAATGTTATGATCAATTTGATTTAGTTATATTTCAAACACTATTCATTATACATTGTTAATATTTGGTTTCTAATACACGAAAAATAAAAATTCATATGTATTCGTAACCTTATCATAAATTTTTAATTTAGTAACTAGACTATTAAATGTATGCAAAGAAAAGTTTCCTAAAATAGAATTCATCAAAAAGTTGTTATTCACTATGTGTTAATTCAACAAAAAACAAAAATTTTATTTTATAACTTTTCCCTAGAGTTTATTAATAGCATTTTTCTCATATGATTTCAACAAATGTTACATTTAGGTAAGAATAATGATAGTCAAAAAGAAAAAGTATATTCAATGAAGTCTCTAGTAAACATAGACGTGAAAGTTTGAGATGAATGAAAAAAAAGTCATTCAGTAGACTTTTTCGGATAATGAGATAATCTAATTCATTTATCTAGCGTCGGAACGGCGCTCGTCTGGGGTTTCTAATTATTACATTACGTACTATGTGTCTCTATACTGCGAAGAATAGATGTTCGTCTTATCGGACTTTTAAATCATCATTTGGACAGAAAAATCTCGATAAAATACAGAGGTAAAATATTTTTACAACACATCAATTTTCCAGACGGCATATACGTTGTTAGTTGTTTTGCTTTAGTTGAATCTAGTCTCAATGTGGAAAAAAGTCATGATTCTTTGAATTCTTGTGGGAAGAAATGTTGTTTCTTATTTAATTATAATCTACAGAAATGAATTATGTCATGTTTCAGTAAATTCTCTTTTTATGTTAGAAAGCTTCTGTTGTAACCTGATAATGAATATCAAATATAACATAAAATGACGTTGGAAGAATTTATTTTACCTAGTATGTTCTCAAATAAATAACGCACAATGTAAAATAGAAGAGAAAATTCATTAAATTTTCGAGATATTTTGTATGATAATCCATCCGAATACGATAGTTTCGAGTGTCGTCTGTCACGATTTCTACTATTATTACTTCAGTAAATAAACATATTCAGTACATTCTGAACGGTTATAAAATCTAAAATCATTGATTTGTAATGACGTTATTGAGCATACTAATCCAGTCCATTTCTTCATCTTATTGTTTTGTTTTCAAAGCTCGTCAAGAGGAGTCATCAATGCAAATAATGTCAATTAGTTGTTCATTATATTTATAAAAAATGACTGGTGGATTATTATAGATCAAAAACAGAAGAGCTTATGATTGCTTCACTCTTAAGTATATTAGTTCTAATTATAGATCTGTACGACAACAACTTTCGGTCATGAAGATTTTTATAAATTTAGTCATGGTAACAAATGTTATTGAATTTCCATTACAATCACTGCTGTGATAGTAGTACTAGATTGACCTAGTTAAAAAAAAAAGAATCATCATGTTAATTAATAACCTCTTATTCACTTATCTATTTCTATAATACATATATCAAAAAAAAAAAGAAAAATACACTCTTACATCATGTAAATCAACGTACAAAGAAAGCAAATCTGAGAGAAGAACGAGAGAGAGAGAGAAAAAGAAGTATTGACTAGTAATAATAAACATAAATGTATATACAAATAGATCGCATCAGTTTAAATAAATTCGACATTTGCTTGTACCACAATGACAAGGAATTTTAATATCTTCTTCCGGAAAAGAATAATCATATGTTAATTCTGATCCACGAGATATATCCATTAATGCATAAATAACAATATGCTTAATACCACCTGATAAAACTGTTTTAGCAAAACAATTTGGCTAAAATAAAGAATTATTTTATGAAATTTTTGTCTTATGGAAATGTTTTAATACCTACCTCACAATTATGATTGATAAATCTAGCTTTATTTCCACGATGCGTAGCATCAATAACATTCATTGAATCAACCGTAAACATATAACAACCAAAACCCTAATAAATATCATTGAAAATTTTTTGCTTTTTTGTTTTCTTTTTTCTTACTTTTCCTTCATTTTCACGTTCACGTTTATCAGTAAGACATGGTCGAACAACTTCACCTGTATATTCAATAATCATTTGTCCTTCAATTAAATCAACTAATGTAAATAAACCACAACCATGTATAGGTGATGAACCAACAAGTAAAGCACGTTCAGAAAAATAATGTAAATGATATAGACGCAAACTAACAGAAGCCTCGTCAAGAATAATTCGCCTATAGAAAAAGAAAAAAACAAAACAAAACAAACTCAACAATTAAAATTTAATACTAAAATCTATTAGCGTAATCCCTGGAGAAGAGGTTAAAATGTTAAACACGGTGTAGCTGCTGTTGTTAATTACAGAAGGTCGTTGTATTCTATCTATTTTGGGACACATTTCTTCATCATCTATTTACTCAATCCTGCAGATATGTAATACGAAAGTAATTTATATAATATAATGAGACATCATTCATATAAGGTGTTGGAAAAAAATGTTTAACAACAACGTAATTTTTTTCAATAAAGGTATATCCTTAGGTCAAATCTAGATAGTGACTTTAACAGGTGATGGATTTTTATTTATGATGCATTAGATAGAGAACTCGACTGACTATTAAAATTATTATTTGGATTTAAGCTAAATACTTAAAACTATAGAAGAAAAAAAAACAAATAGATTTTTGTTCAATTTAATTTCATGACTTTCGTGAATTTTATACCAAAAACACCAGAAAACAAAGGCTTCTCAAATGATGAAACGAACGTAAACATTAATGTTCTTGAAATTCATTGATTAAAAGTGATATTTTAATTAGGCAAATACAATGAATTTGATTATTAATGAAAGTCATGCAATTAAACTGATGAGAATGTTCATTTTAATGCATTTTTTTTAATTCCAGGAGCGATCTATAGGGATAGGTGCAAATATTTCTCACGCTGTTTCAGTACTCTGTTTAGATCGTGTTTCTCAAAAAGATCAAAAAAAGCAACTTACCTTGCATATACAAGTGCATTATCAATTTCAAATGATTTAAGTGCATATTCAATTTTTCTACTTTGATTTAATAACCAACCAAATCTTTGACGTTCACGAGTTTTTCTGTCATATATATTTGATCTTGAACATGATGATAAAAACTTTTTTTTATTAAAATTTTCTATTGAACATGTAGAATTATTATTAGTAGTATTATTTAACAAAGATGATGTTGATGATGATAATGGTAATATAATTGTTCCAATTTGTTGTTGTTGATTTGTATACATTTGATTAAGCATTATTTGAATAATTGGTTTTGTTAAACCAAATATTTTATGTCCATTTAATTCTTCATTTGTCATAGGTAAATGTTGTAAATTCATATCATCACGACAATTACGTATTAAATTAATAATTGTTGACCATGCTGAATCTAAATCATCGGATATAATTTTATATCCTTCATCATTTGTTATTGTAAATTTTACACGAGAAAAATTTGTTTTTGACCATTGTTTATATAATTGAATAAGATCGTATGTTGATATGGATTTTTTCTTTTCTGAACTTTGTATTTTATTATTACGATTTGTAGGTGATATTGGAATCAAATCAATTAATGATGGAGAATTAACATAATCTGATAAATCTATTGAATATTCACTGTTTGTACGAGAACGTTCAGAATTTGTTTTATCAATAATCTGTTCAATTAAAGATTTTACTACTATAGAAGATATATGAAAATCATCATTATCATCATCATCATCGATTGATCCATCGACTTGTGGAATACATGTTGGTTTTGATAGTAAACTAGAACTATTATCAGTTGTATGAACTAAAGGTATTGCACCATTTAATGATGAATAGGAAACTATTATAGGCAACGAAATATATATATATATATTGAAAATATATCAAATTAAGAAATAACTCTTACGTTGAGAATCATCAAATGATTTTAAAAGTGATATAGTTTCAGTTTGAGTAGATATACTTGAACGCCATTGAGATGTATATGAAGATAATTGCGAAGAATTCATTGCTAGTATTTGAGAATCGAAATAAAAAAATTTCATAATAGTAAAAGTTATCATTTATACGATGAACAAATAAGCAAAGATTGCTTACTATAAAGTTAAATTTTTGAAAGATTTTATTCATTTGAACATAGTACTCCGTTTTCTTTCTGTTAATCATATACAAGTGAATTATTTGGACAAATATTTCGATAGTTTTATTACGAGAGAACTATCCCGATAGACATCTGTCTTGTGAGCTCCTATTGTCAATTATTGAATTTTCAAGTGAACTTCAATTTTATGACAAAGGGTAATTTTTAACAATTCAATATCTTGTCTTCGATTGAAATTTTCAAGATATTCTAAGAGTTATTTGCTTTTTTTTTGGGAACTATCTACAATTAGATAGAAAATCTAATAAATCGATTATAGGTCGATGACAAAGGTCTATGAGAACGAACTCTTTTAGGAGTGTGCTTGTTTCACTGAGACGTGCCTGTATGTCTAAGATGAGTTTAAATAGTGATTTTCACTTGAAATAATTGCTTCGTTAGTAGGTTCCGCGTCGTAATAGAAGAACTCAGGACTTTCTATTGTGTATCATGTATTTTCCTTATTTTTGAATTAGAAGAGTTTATTTTTAAAGATTTTTCAGGTCAATAAAACTGAAAACTAAGCATATTTTGATATGAATATATTAGTTAATGAAAGGAAGTCTTCTTATATTAATAGAGCTAATCGTTGCTTCAGAGGAAGTCCTCTATTCCATGGAGGGGTTTATTACATTAGTTATTTTCTAGGTAAGGTGACGTCAAACATGACATACAAACTTCTGTCAATATTAAAGTTCTTATGATTTTTCTTTAATGCGAATGCGCCTAGTCTTCATATTTATGCCAAAGAATGCTATTAAAATTTCTTCTAATCTCTTAGCACATCTCTTGATAATACTATTGCGTTTAGAGTCATTCTTGTGAGTAGGCCATAAAATAATGAAATACTATTATTTCTTTTTGTTTTTTTTTGAGCAGCACAAATATTATTGAAAGATATGATTCTTTTCTCATAAGTTCAAATCATTGTTTGTTTTTTAATTGAAAGAAATCGTAAAGATTTTCTTTGATCAATATAACGTTTACATCAGAATTAAATTCTACATCTAACAACATAACAATAAAACTTTCATTGAATAAGTTGAACTTCTGCGAACACTAACATAGCAAATATATTCAAAAATATCATTAAATGTTTATTCAAGTCGGTAAGTCCTGGATAATGCTCCTAGAATCCTTGAAAATATGACGGAAACAGAATATGCAATTCTCTATCTGTTGATGCTTTACTTTTAGTAGTAGATTTGATGAACACAGGATGACACAAATCCACAGGTATCTGTCAAAAATATGAGATAATAGTTCAATAACTGAATTATGCAAAAGTAAAGTCTCTCACCAATATCTAGGCCTCTCAAAAAAAAAAGAAATCTAAATGTCATATTCTTTATGGATTATCCGTTAAACTTGAATAGAAACTAAAACATTGGATTAGGGATTTGTCATTCTCAAGAAATCCCTAATTTGGAAATGCACTAAAACAAAATGATGTTCGTATGTTCATGTAAATAATTTATTTTAATAACATAATGCAATATTTTATCCAGATTATCTCTTTCAGCAGGGCGAATATCTATTTTTCAGAGAACACACTAAACATGTGTAAGACCAAGTGTTTTGATCTCACAATTGTCTACTCAACTACAACGGTCACTAAAAAACTATATATCAAATCAGAAATGATCACCAGAAGAGACAACTTCTCCATCATTTATCATGTGATCTTTCTGTATTACAAGATATTAGTATAAAAGTAATAAATTGATTCATGATGTACGAAAAATTTTACTTGAAAAGTGGAGCACATGAATTTTCGCAGTACTGATTTTAAGGAAATACCGAAAGTCAATTGTAAAATTCATTTTATACTGAGCAGTCACAGAGTCAAGGATATTATAGTATGTGTTCTAAATAGATATCGACAAGATAGTTCTGATCTAGAAAGAAATGAAACCAAGATCAAAAACGACTAGTTCCTCTCATATCTAGTATAGGCACACGGTCTATGATAGAGATGTCAGCTTCTAGTTCCACATCTAGGAACCCATACTTCACTATCACAGAAAAGGCGTCCAAGAATATGCAGATAGTTCAAAATCTTCGAAAATCCATTCAAAATATTGTAAAATATGTTCGCATTCCTTGAAGAACAGGAACTTCAAGGAACACAAACGCTGGGAAAGCTAAACAGATCTTTGGAGGAACGGTCCCTTCCATCTTTATCCTCATGCTGTATATAACACTGATATAATGATTTAGTATTCTAAATTTAACTTGATCATTACAATAAATTACACCATATCAAATGATGAATGTATGATTAAGTTCAATTGCTAGGCGCGAATGTATCAATAGATAGCGCCACTGCAGGATGCGTCGAAGGTGGCGCTATCTATCGACAGCTCAGCAATGCGCAATAGAAGTTAATCATGCATACACCATTTCATATAGAAACTCTTATTCTACAAGCCTTCATATATCCCGTGCTGTAATTAAAAATCTAATACGAATGAAAGATTATAAAACAAATGACATACAAAATTTATTTCATGATGACTTTTTAAAATCAACGAATGTTTCACAATTTGCTTTAGCACTTGTACAAGCACTTAGACATGTTGGACAATCAACTAAAATGTATAATCGAAAACAAAAACGATTGTTGTTTTTTAATCAAAATTTTTCTTTTTTTTAATGTTTTAGACAACAACAGGAATCAAATTTGAATTATAATTTATTAAATCCATTAAGTAATTCATCCAATGGAATAACAACAGAAAAAAATAATGATCTTCTTTTAAAACAATTATTAAAAAGCATGACTGTACCACAACAACTAAATGGTATTGATCGTTTTCTTTCATAGGAAAGGCAGCTATTAGGTTTTTAATTANTCTAAGACAATTATTCCCAATTCGAGGAGCTTCCCTATGACTACAGCTACATGTCATTTTCTATGCCTATCAGCCGCGGAAAACATTCACTCATGTAATGTCATTCCTAACGGAAAAAAAACGCTTCATCAGCACTATCAGCAGTTTAGTTTTTCAAGCCATCAGTCTCGATGTATTGAAATTGAATGCCACTCAAATAGCAAACCTTTACAAAGAGGTAGTGCTTGTAGAGAAATTTCTACCAGAACTCGCTCAAACTATGCAGATACATGGGACACAAGTAGCAAAAATTCAGGCGCAACAGATCGCGCTAGCAGAGAAACTTCAATGAACTCAACAAGTTCCTAATACTATGATTCCACCCTGTACTCACACTTCGAAACTCTCAATACTCTTGAATCTGGTATTGAACTGTTACACATTCAGTTCCAACGCTTCTTCCTCTACTTATCTATCAGTCAGGTCTCTCGTAACGAACTTACCCTAGGATTTTTTCACCGGACGACCTACATACAGTAGTATATAGCGTTATTTAACATGGAAACCTAACATTTAACTCTCATCATGAAAGATTACCCATTGTCCAAATCATTATCAAACCTCTTGTTTGTCAATAAATGGACTTCATCTCCAGATCACAATATCTAACCCAAAATCCAGAAGAAATCCATTGCTTCGTCGTCATCAACTTTTTCGACGTCCCTCAATGACAACAGTAATCCTTCTATACCTATAAATTACTAACGATTCTTTTTTTCCATGAGAACAAAACTATCCAACTCGCTCAGATCTCCCAATACTGAACAATCAATCTAGCAAATAACAACACTATGAAATACCATGAACCTTAGGAATTCGGATGCGACCTGCAACTGATGGCATCATGCCGTGACATCCCACCATTTCGTGCAATCTCAAAAGATACTTGCTTGGGTCAAAGCATAAGAACTCTTTCCCTATCGAGATGGCAAATAACATCAGTTCTCTCGCCTACATATTTTCTTCAGCAGTTAAGGGATTATCTATTGATTACTTCATCACTTGAATCGTTACACTATCTAAAAATTCTAAAAACCAAATATTCCACTACCATGCACTAAATCTGGAACGTGAACGAACAAATAATCATCTCTCCTGTTGCTGTCGTCAAGATAACTCCAGGCTACACAGTTGCGTGTTGTGGATTAACCTTGGTAAGCCGTCCTATTACCTCAATTGTAGCATTATTCATAATTCTATATAATAATAACCTACTCACTTATGTCAGGAACGTATCAACTCGTAACAGGACTTTACGAAAGCAGGACTTTCTTATTGAGTTTTACAAGGCTTTCGTATCGGTTTTACCAGAGTCTTCGTGCCGCTCTTACAGGGCTATTGTAAAGTTAGAGCAGTTAGTGTGGTCTCTAGGGAGATGCTACTGACAGAGTTGATGCTGCTCGTGGTGATGACTTTGCTAAGACTGAACTTCGTCTAGAAAGGAAAAAGAGCAAATGTCTATTTGTTTGCTAATGGTCAACCTATTGCTCCATTGTTTTTGATGATGCCATTCTCTGTTCAGCTATAGAAATGATTGTAAATTTCTTGTTACGAGTTCATACACCCCGATTATGCCTCCCGATGCAAGCAAAAGAGTACTTTAAAAAATCTAAAATTCATCCTTCTCCATTAATCTTCAACAGTAAGTACTGTATAAATCCCCAGAAACAAACAGTAAAAAAGAAAGTAATATTCTCTCTAGGCCATGATACCGAATCAAAGCTATCTCTATCTGATTCCAAGTGGATAAATTTAGATGGCAATAAAATCCATTCACATAGAAACATGGTCCTCAAGTGCAACATCCTCAACAACATTATAACCCAGTATATCCACTGTGAAGTTGATCCTTTCGGAAACACTTATTGTTTCTACTGGATAATAGTCAAAGATAATTGTATCTAATGTGCACGAATAATTTATTGAACAAATAAGCAGCTATATATAGGTTTTGAACAATACGTTTGATCCAAGAGAACACAGAATAGAACGGAATAGAAGAATACATATGACGTGATGGAAGGTTACATGCCATGATGGAAGAATGAGAAAATCACAACATATGGAAGAATGCGCAAAAGTGATAGATGACATCAGCTGGTTCTAATACTTCTTAACACAACCCAAACAGAACCTACCACGAGATTCAACCAATATTCAGCAACACAATGTAATATCGACTGAAAACAAATCCACTAACCAACAACATCGTCGATAACACTACAATTCTTACAAACAACCCTTACAAACCCTCATGTCATTACAACTCGATCCACCGTCTAATGAATAGTACAATATCATACCGCAACCGACATTCTTTATGTCATTTCTGGTCCCTTACTGCTAGTCAGCACCTATCGAACTGAACCAAGCAATACGTAAACAAGACCCTACATCTACAAACGTAAACTAAATTCTCTCAATCATAATCCAACTTATTATCGACATATCCACCAACCATAAACAACGGCGACCTCTACGCCGCCATCTGGGAAAATCCTAATATGAAGGGAAACGACCTTTCCCTGATCAATAGCCAGATTCAGGCCTATATGAGCAAAAATTCCATCCCGGGGGTATCCATTGCAATCACCAAGCAAGATCGCCTCGTCTTTGCTAAGGGCTTCGGTTACGCTGATACAGGAACCGGTGAGAAAGTCCATCCCGACCATCTGTTTAGAATCGCTAGTGTCTCTAAACCCATGACTTCTATCGCTGTCATGAAACTTATCGAGCAAGGCAAATTTTCACTGAGCTCAAAAGTGTTTGGCCCGTCCGCCCTTCTCGGAACAACATATGGAACCAAACCCTATGGTCAGCGAGTCCGAGCTATCACTGTTCAGCAGCTTCTCGAGCATACCAGTGGCTTCTCAAACGATGGCGGTGATCCAATGTTTATGAACTATCAACTAAGTCAGAAAGACTTAATCAGTTGGGTTCTTGATAATCGGACCCCAAAGAACGTTCCTGGTTCTACATACGAGTATCTTAATTTTGGATACATTTTGCTTGGAAGAATCATCGAGAAGGTTTCTGGACAAACTTATGAGCTTTTCCTTCGAAATAACATTTTCAAGTACGCTCCACAAGCCAGCAGAATGGTTATCGGTGGAGATACCTTTGCGAACAAAAAGCCTGGCGAAGTGACATACTACCCGAGCAATGCGTACAATCTTCGTGTTCGTCGCATGGATGCCAATGGTGGATGGATTGCACGTCCCATCGACCTTGTAGGTATCATGACGAAAGTGGACGGGTTTAGCTTCAAGCCAGACATTTTGAGCAGCAGTACAATAAAGACGATGTGGACGGGCTCTTCGGCAAACGCCGGGTATGGCAAAGGATGGATTCTGGATAGTTCGTACAAAGGCCATAACGGTGCTATGTCAGGAACGATTGCGTTCTTGGTGAGAAGAAATGATGGTCTGTCGTATGCGTTTACAGTCAATATTAGGCCCAGCACCGATGGTTTTGCATTTGGGTTGAAAGCAGTGATGGATACAATCGTTTCTGGAGTGACTGCTTGGCCTGCGTATGATCTTTTCTAGAGCAACTTAAAATTTAATAGACACGAAAGTTGTGTGAAATACGTTTTTCTCTCGACTGAAGGGAGGTTCATATGAAATAAAATGCGTATATTGATGTGTGTGTCTGTATGGTTGTAGTGACGCGTTCAGTCTTATGTCCGCTTGTACAGCCGTAGCTTGCAAGATTTCACCGTTGGTAATTGGGTTGGAGAATCCAGATTTGTTATCGTTTTTCAAAGTCGTGAGTTTGAGTTTAAGGGTCAGGGGAAGAGTTTTTCGAGAAAATAACAATGTTGTTTAAGCATTAGCGAAAGTAAATCGGGGTCCGGAATCTGAATCTTTAGTGCATTCCTGAAAGTTGCGGAGCTGCAGTTTTATAATCAAGGAAAGATTTTTTAGGAGAATAATGATTTTTCATTCGACTGAGTATCTGATGGTATGAAGTCAAATCATTTTGTGACCTGGGAGTGATTGGGACAGTAACGAATTTAGTTTTGTTTGCGTCACTTACAGGCTAGATAATCTCAATAACGTGAAATATATGAGTTTTTTTAACAATGTGAAGTGTGAGTATGAGGCAGAACCCAGACCGCACACCAACCCTGAAAAGTACTGCTGATGCCCAAATTCAAGTTTTAGTCAATTCGACATTATCAGAATATAAGTATACTCGCATTGTAACTTGTCTGGATTAATATTCCATGAGTGGCACCCTAGAAGGGCGCCGACGAACAACTAGTGACTCCTATTGTAAGTTCAATGTAGATTCAATATACAAATGACCTATATATAGTCTAGAATTTTTGAAGAGTACTATAGCAAGATTCTCTTAATGAGAGATTTCAATAAACCTTTGATTGGCTAGGTAAGCAATGAAATTAAAGACGTAAGAAATAGTTTACAATAAAGTTTCAGCTTTGGAAGTTCCCATCGAGAATTCTCGTGTTATAAATCTAATGGTTTTTGGAACTAAGCGAAGCCTAAAACCATGTAGGGTGTAAATCAAGGAGGATGATCTGATGGGTGTGAGTATGTGGATGTGGGTATCGATGTCGGTGTCGGTGAGGGTTTGGAGTGTGAGTGGCTGTGGGTCGAGGTGGGAGTGGGTATGTGACCGAAATCAAGAGGCAGCCCCACACCCAAACCCACACCCTCTTCCTGTAGAAGATTAAGACACGCAAACTTGATAACTATGATGGTTGTGAAATAGATTACAAAAACCTACATAAGTCTGTCGAGGTTGGATCTGACGACGGTGCTGAAACCAAGTGTGACGACGTCATTTTAATAAGAAACCACGATCAAGTAACATTGTTTTATCACCAAACGAATTCAATTGTAGTTTTATTCAAAATCACAAATAAGGTACCGATATGAATTCGAATATTATCAGAAGTATGTCATTCCGACTTGAAAATTATTATTTTCCACTGTCTCCCTCTCACTCATTCGTTCTTCGATCAGACATGAAAACTAGATGCGCAGAAAAGAAAAAAATCCTTTTGTCTTGTGCATACATTGTTTCTGTATAATTATTATTTCACACAAGGTTTCTTGTTTTAATATTCATATCGTAAAACAATCACTATTCGTTTTTCTGCTTTGAAAATTTTATTACCTAACAATCCTCTTGTTCCATCATTCAATGCAACTAAGGAAGAGAGACAACAATTGAATTAATACTTCGATCGATCGTTCATAATAGTTAAAACTAGTTGAGTTATCTAATAAAAAGAACGTCAAGAGCGCTTTTGCCAGATAAATCAAAATTATGTTTTTCTTCTATATGGTGGCTGTGTGGGTATGGGTATGGGTGGGGTGTTTGTGGGTGTGGGTGTTAACCGTTTAAGAAGATCACACTCACACCGCTCTGTACGAGTTTTTTTTATCGTTTCAGATCGAAACGATAAACCGGATGAACTCATACATACAGGAATATAAGAGATATTAAAGATAAAGAGACACAATACATACAGGTATATATGAGATATAGTGATCTACATATTGCTATTTCTCTTATATCTCCTATATAGGTGTGGGTGCAAGTTTTATCTCTATCAACGCCACACTTACACCCACACCCTTCACCAGTGATACCTTCTTTCTCTCCATTATTGCTTACTTCGACAGTCGAATTCGATCAACTTACAACTACACAGAAAGTTAGAGAAGTTATTTATAATGAGATTAAACGAATGAAGCAGAATGATTGAATCGGTTTCTCATTCTATCCACAAGGGAGTGTGAGTGTCGGTGAGGATTCTCTCTTCATCTAAACCTGCACCCCCATCCACATCCACTTCTAGCTCGAATATATGATATAGAAGCATTCTATTTTACTGTTCCTTCTTGTTTTGTTTCAAGACTTTTGATAATGAATTAATATCTTATCCATCGATTTTGTCTTTTTTTGAATTTTTTGAATCAGTCATTGGCTGTTGATTTAATAAAGAAATTGGCTGTTGTAGTTGTGCTTGTCCACGTTGATTAATATCTTTAAGAAGTTGAGCAATTGATAGTGAATATACAAGCAATATTCTTCATATGTTCCAACTTGTACCAGTTCGCCCTATAAAAGACATATTCAATTATAGGATAAAAAAATTACATATGTTGTCATTGATATGCACAAATTATCAAGAACAATAATTTTAGTTGTATTTTGTAAGAATTCCATTTGATAAGTAACTCAAATACGAGTTTTATCACAAAGTCAACTTTTGCTTGATCTAAAATAAATTTATCGATGTTTAGAAACTTATAAGCATCAACATCTGAAAGTGAATTATCTACTAGATAAATATCTGCATCACGATAATCTACTCTGGCCATTTTGATACGTGCTTTTTGATCTTACAAAGAATAGATAATAAAATTATTTAAATAGGCTTCTTTTCTTTAAATAAATCAGCATATTTTACTCCAGATAGCGTGATATATTGACCATCAACAAGTGCATTATCACGATTAGACACCTGAACAAAATTCTGCATAGGGTAGTCAAAAAGTTCTCGTAATAGTACTCTAAAATTTCATCCTGATTGATTTTATTCCTGATGTTGGCCTATTCTAGTAGTGAAATCTGTTATGTATTAAAATACCAGTACGAAGTTTTACAAGTGTCTATTATGACAAATCTTTAATCAATTTTTTCAACAGCTCTGTTCTCCGATGCATAAACTTTGTATTCGCTTATATGTAAAAACTTGTTGGTTATTAGGTCTAAATGCTATACAGATGCATGATGAATTAACTGCTGCTTATGGACAAGGTGTTGTTTCATATAGTACAGCTACTCATTTGATTGATCGATTTTCAAGTGGACGAGAGTCGTTGGAAGATAATCCTCGTAATAGTCGTCCAATAACCGTCATTACTAAACAAAATATTGATGNATACAAATGTTAGTCATGGTGCAAACCAGAAGAATGTAAGATAACAGTTGAGGCATGACACGAGGTAGTTAACCGTATAATTTAAATGGTGGAAATGTATAATGTATGTATTAACGTGCGAACGTTGCATTTATAGAGTGATAGATAACGAAAGTATGAGAAAGGAATGAGCAAGCACTGGTGAAAACGAAAAATCAGAAAAATGTGTTGTTGAATGGAATTCGAAAATGAAATGAAAAAATCGTAGGAGTGAGGGAATGAATTGTATTATCAAATTTAAGGTTGACGATGACGATTATAATGAGAAGATGAACGAGAGTGAGGTCGAGTTGATTGAAGTTCATTATAATGTTCGGTGGTGAATAAATAACGAGTTTGATATTGATAAACGTGAAGTTTTGATGGATTGCGAAGTCCGATATATAATGAATATTTGTGTGTTATGTTTGATCGAGAAATATTAACAACATTGAAGGGAATATAAAGTTGTCGAAGGATGTTTTTTATTTGAGTGATGGTAAAACGACCATCTATGTTTCTTCGAATGATTTCATGGCGATAATATCGTCGTCTTTGACGAATTGTACACGATCGATTATGTATTTTCCGTCGTTCAGCTTCTGATAGTTGTTCATGAATAGGAAGTAAATAAGTTGATATACGAGAAGTTGAAGGTGATTGTTGAATTTCTGTGTTTGTAAAAGGTGTATCATCATCATTGGATGAGATGGTGTCCAAATCGTTAAATTTTGATGGTTGTGTAGGTGTAGATAATGTGATTAATCGTTGTGTCGGGCAGATGACGATCGAATTAACTTGTGGTGGATGAGAATTGTCATTGTTGTCGAGAAATTCAATAGATAGAGCACGTGATTCATCAACCAAATTAAATTGATTAATTGATGATGGATTAAATGGTATAGGAGAATATGTATCATCATTTTCATCACTTGAAATAGGTGAAAATTGGAATAGATCATGTTGAACGTGTTTGATCGAGTTGGAATTAAATATAAAGTTTTTGTGTTTCATCTGTATTATTATTCGCTGCATAGACAAGCAATCGTACGATGCATAGGTACTAAGTTGTTGTCGATATCGTTTTTCATTTGAATTTAATTGATAAAGATTAGGATCTAGACCGATATGAAAATCTTCATTGGTAAATTGTTTAGATAAGTATTCTTTCAATTCGAATTTTACGGAATTTTGTAAAGACCAAGGTAATCCAATACCTAAACAAGTTTCACAATGGCAATCAGTTGTTGAAGTATTTGATGAACGTGAATTAGACGAGCGATGTGGATGGTGTTGTTTCCAAAAAATGTGAAACTCGTTTTGTAAATTAATCGGGTGGGAAAAATCAATGTGTTCACGTGAAAATAATTTAAATATAACAAAAGGATATAATTCATTTTTTGATCCCCATATATATAGTTGTTTATTTTGAGAAAAAACAATTTTAAATAATTCGTGAATAAGTTTAAAGCAAATATTATTTTCGTTTGGTAAATGATACATTTCTATTAATAAAACAAATGATGAATTGTGTGGTAAGAAAATTTGCAATTGCATCAGGGCGGGTTGATTGGTTTGCTTGTATATGTTAATCGATTCAGTATCAATGGTAAATTCCAATGATGCTGTTGCAGCTTGAATAACTTGACATAGGCATGCTTCAGTTGTTATTCGATTAATGAAATACGGTATATGTGGTAATGGTTCAAATGGAGGGAATTGCATTGCCAAGTCATGTTCCTTGATTCGGTTACGAAGATGTTTACGAAGATTCCTTTGAGATTTACTGGTTACTGGAGTTGAAATGTGTTGAAGTTGTAAATGTGTTTCTTGATATTCTTTTTGGGACAACATTCTACAATAAAAAAACATGTAATGTTAAGACATCGATTCTCAAGTGTGAGAATCTCCGGAATATTGAACATATTCGATTCTCAAAGAAAGAGGGAAAAAGAATCTTTTATATAATTGATGATCGAGAACAGTTGCTAAAGGTGAGAGATTAATAAGTGAATAAATCCATTATCTGTATGTCAATAAGAATAAAAAATTTTCAGTACGAAACAATAGTTCTTCTCTCGATTCTCAGTGATCATGAAAGAATCTAGGAAGAATAATGGAATAGTATACATATCCAAAATGGTATTTCGTATTATAGAATAATTAAATATCAATAGACAGTTGCTAAATTGGGTATAATAGCCCTTCACAGCCAGTGAGTTGGGGAAATGCACACTCCCCGACTATGCTATGCTAAATTAAATCAATCTAGATCCGTCCATCAATAAATAAGTAGTCCATTTGTTTTGACATATCGAGAGTGCTATTATGGAGCTCTTTGCCAGAGGTCCTATAATGAATGAATTCGTTCAAATATTGGTAATAACACGTCAGTTGTAACTTGACGATATAATGTGAGTTTTTTGACGTGTTGAACGATAAATGTTTTGGGTGTAATTATTTGAATAATTCTAAATGGTCCTTCATAACGAGTATCGAATTTATAACGGATGTGGAGTGTTTTCACCAGAACCAAATCACCGATGTTGTAGGATGGATCAGAACGATTTTCATCATAGCGTTGTTTATATCGGTCTTGATTCTTAGTAATATTAATTTTGGCTTGTTCATTTAATTGTGATAAAAATTGACTAAGCTTTTTCACATGTTCAGAATCGTGCGAAAGGGTAACATTTGTATCTTGATGATCAAATGGTAAAACAGGCGATCGACCATACATCATTTCGAAAGGTATTTGCTTGGTCGAGGAATGAATTGAAGCATTGTAATTGAATGTAACAAATGGTAATTGATCATCCCAATCTGTTTTGCGTAGATTGGATAATGCTGCAATTTTTGCATCCATGGTTGAATTGTATCTTTCAACTTGTCCGTTCGTTTGAGGATGATATGGTGTTGAATATAAATGTGTTGTTCCAATTTGTTTAATTAATTCATTCATTAATGTTGAAGTAAAATGTGTTCCGTTGTCTGTAAGTATACATTTCGGAGTACCGAATTTTGAAATAATATCTTCTTTAAGAAATCTAACAACTGTTTGAGCTGTATTATCACGCACAGCCTTTGTAACGACGAATTTCGATAAAACATCAGTAAGAGATATAATATATTTATTTCCACGTTGAGATGTTGGAGTAATAGGTCCATGAAAATCCATTGATACTAATTGCCATACTCCATCAGGAGCTTTAATAGGTCTTAAAGTACCAGGATTTTTTTGTCGACGAGGATTAAATTGAGCACATAGAATACATGATTTAATATAATTATTAATATCTTTGTACATTGATGGCCAAAAATAACGTTGTTTAATTTTATGTATTGTTTTATCTCTTCCGAAGTGAGCACCATTTGCTGCAGTATCATGATAAATTTGTAAAATTGTTTTTCGAAAATCACCTTGTGGTACATAAGGAACAGGATGATTTAATTTTCGCATTAAAAGATTATGTTTTATAATATAATTTTTGTATTTCTTGATATTATTGAGAATATTTTTTGCATAATTATCATTTTGTTGAGCTTGTATTAATTCTTCAATTGAAAATGGAATAATACGATTCTCTTCAGTAGAAGTATTTAGAGAATCTGATGTAAATTTTGGTATATTGGTAATATCATTTAAAGTTTGATTTCGTAATTTCATAGCACGAGTTTGAACAGCTGCAACGATAGATGAATGATTATTAACATGTAAAACATCGGTTTGTGTTGATTTTGAAATAAGATGTGGAATTTCATCAGGATCTTCTTCAGCATCGTCAACTGGAGATCTTGATAAATAATCAGGCATAGAATTTGTTAAACCTGGAATGTATTTCACCTTGAAATCATATTCTAAAATTTTTAATCGCCATCTTTCGCATCGTTTATTAATTTGAGCTTTTTGATTTAATTGTGTTAATGCTTTATGATCAGTTTCCCAAACAAATTTAATTCCGCTTAAATAATTATGCCATTTGTCTAATGCACAAATAAATGCATAACATTCTTGTTCCATTGGAGACCATTTACGTTGTGCTTGAGTAAATTTCTTAGATAAATATGCGACGGGTCTATCGCCTTCTGGATAGAGTTGTGATAAAACTGCACCGATTCCCTCATCAGAAGCATCTGTTTGAACTTTAAAAGGGAATCTGTTGTTCGGAAGACGTAATACTAAATCAGTTGTAAGGTAATGCTTGAGTTGTTCGAATGCTGTAACTTCTTCATTGGTGAACGTAATTGGAGTTTTCTGTCCTTTCTTTTGTTGAGTCCGTGTAGTTGGGACGAACTTTCTAAGTGGTTCGGCAATGTGAGAAAAATTTGGAATAAATTTCCTATAATATTCAGCAGCTTTAACGAATTTACAAGCTTCATTAGCAGTTTGTGGTAATTTTGTATTTAATAAGCCATGTATGTTGGTAGGACTGGGACGAATTTCGCCATTGTGTATACGATGGCCAAGATAATCAGTTTGTGTTCGAGCAATTTCGCATTTTTCTGGATTAAGACGGAAACGAGCTTCTTTTAATATGTGACAAATTTCATTCAGATGAGATAAATGTTCTTGAAATGTGTTGGAGTAAATAATAACATCATCAATATATGCTAATGCATATTTCCATCGTGTAGGACCCAATATATGGTTAATAACACGTTGAAATGTTGCTGGACCATTTGTTATTCCTTGTGGAAGAACTGTAAATTGATAATGATTGTCACGGGTTGAAAAAGCCGTTTTCGGACGGTCCTCTTTCGATAGAGGAACCTGGAAATATCCAGATTTGAAATCGAATTTTGTATAATACGTGGCATCGGATAATTGATCAAATATTTCATCAATTCGAGGAAGTGGAAATGCATCTTTAATGGTAATAGCATTTAATCGTCGATAATCAATGCAAAATCGCATTGTTTTGTCTTTTTTCTTAACAAGAACGATTGGTGATGACCACGGTGAGGTTGATTCTTCAATTTGACCACGTTCTAATAATTTTTGTGTTTCTTGAAATTTAATTTCTTGATCTTTATATGAAGCTGGATATTGTTTTGAATAGATAGGTGGGTGATCACCAGTTTTAATTGCAATTTGTGGAGCTATATTTATTATTGATGGTGTAGGGTCGAATAATATTTTATGCCGCCATAGTATATCTTAAATTGCTAATTGATCTTTTCGATTTTCTATATGTTTAGTCGATTCGAGTATTTGTTGTCGAATCTGTTCTGAATAACATTTTGCGCGTAGATGTTTTTGTAAATCATTACCGGATAAAAAATGTTCATTGCAATGATGACAAATAATATTTAATTGTGCTTGATTCGAGTTGTCTTTTTTTCGTAAGATAGCTCGGGATTGCAATTTATTGCAATGTTGAGTTGATGTTTGAGGACGTTCATGTAAAACAGAATTATGCTTCGTTGGAATTGGTGTAGTTGCATATATAGTATATGTTGCATCACGGGAGATGGTTCCGATTCGTGTATTTTTTGATAATGTGTGTCGTCGATTTTGTGCATTTATTAGTAACACTTTTGCTTGATTTTCGGCGATATTTAATAATGTATGTGGCATGAAAATAAATGTTGATATATGACGTTCATAAGGTTCAAATATAAGATTATTTGCTTGTTTAATTTGACATGTAATATCAACTAATGTTTGTGAATATGGAGGGAGAGTAATGTCATGGACTAATAATGCTGGATAATTAAGAGAAGTAGGTTCGACATATGGAAGTGAAATTAATTGACCTTGTGGATCGGGAATGGTTAATTTTTGCTGGTCACCATAAAGATGAACATGATTCAAATTAATCCAATCATTACCTAAAAGAATTGATGCAATTAAATTTGTAGCAACGTAAGCAGTAACATAAGTTTTAATAGATTTAATTTGGATTTGTAATTTTATTTGACCAATAATATTAAGAGGTGTTGAATTAGCAGTTTGACATAAATGAGTTCGATATAAAAAATTATGGTGACGAATAGTTTTGAGAAAATTTGAGTGAATAATGGAGATGGCGGATCCTGTATCAACAATTGCTTCAGAGGGTTGGTCATTAACACGAATTTTAATGTAAACGGGAAATGATGGGATTGTTGATGGCTTGTTAAATTTACTGGGAACACCGCCATCATGTGACCCAGTTATTGGAAATTTGGAGGTAATGTGCAATCACGAGCATTGTGGTGTTGGCCACAATTAAAACATCCGGTTGTACGTTTATAAAAACAATCAATGGTGCGGTGATTTGTTCGACCACAAACTTTACAATTGGAAAATTGAGGCGGTGATGTTGGTGGATAAGAAATCGGTTTTTTGTTAAATATGGATGGTGATGAATAATTGGGAATTCGCTGTTGTTTAGGTATTAATGTGCGAGATGTAAGTGCAGGAGTCGAGTTGCGTGGTGAAACGGACCGCTGTGAGTATGGTAAATGTGAAAGACGATTTTTGGGTTGCAGATTATGATAACGTGGTGTAGGACGGTTAATTCGAGTAGTTAAAGAAGAAACTGCTGAAGAATCATAATTAAAATAAGAGCGTGGCGCTTGTAGTGATAGTGCACGAGATTTTTCAAAAGCATCATATAAATCTTCTTCAATTTTTGCATATTTTAAAAATTCGCTTAACGTAGTCATGGATGATTCGCGTCGAGAGAGCTCCTTTTTAAAATCAGGATTAAGTCCACTCATTAAATGGTGAATAATAAGCTTATCGGACATATCGGGATCAATTTCTCGACATAATTTGACAACATCGTCAAAATAAGATGTGACAGTTTCATCAGGTGGTTGTTTGCGTTGTTTTAATTTATCAAAGTGTTGATGAGCTAAGGTTGTTGGAAAATAACGATTTCGAAAAGCCGTTTCGAAATCTGACCATTTTTGAAAGATAGATTCATTATTGTCGAACCATATTCCAGCAGATTGAGTTAATTTACCACGAACAATTTCGAGAATTTCGGGATTATCTGATTCATCATTAGCTTTTGTGATATTTTTAATGCTTTTTAAAAAACGTTCGACATCCTCCGATGGATGTCCGGAAAAATTGGGTAAATCATCAAATCGAGCTTTACGAGCTTTGGCTAACAGGGTTTGATCAGTCATGGTGGTAGTAGAAGAGATTGATTGAGAAGCGTTAATAGTAACGGATTGAGCAGCGTCAACAGTAGCTGATGGTGAAACGTTACGGGATGACGATGTGTTGATGATGGTAGGAGGCAGTAATGGTGTATTATTTTTCCGAACTTGAGATCGGGTACCGGAAGCCGTTTTGAAAATTTGGTGCTTTCAATTAAATATAAGGTTGTAGTTCAAGGTATATAATGCAATAAGATCAAAATTAGTCGAGTCTCTTACACTGAGGCTCTCGGTAACGACAAATAATGAACGAATATAATGGAGTGTAAGTAATGATGTAATTAATACATAGCTGATGGTGTTTGCCAGGGTCGCCAAATTGTTAGGGTTCTCTCCCCTACTCCAACTTTATTATTTTCCTTTTTAAAAAAAAAAACAAAAAAAACAAAAGCCGAAAAATTCTCCATTCCAATCGCAGAAGACGTGCACATATCTCTTAAGATAACCGAATCAGAATATGTGAAGACGAAATGAAAAAACAAAATTAAAAATGAAATAGAAGGGTATGTACGAGTGCGACATCACTGTAACAAAGTTCAACAGATAAATGTGGATGTCGTTTAAGTAAATCATGACATTGTTCATTAATTAAATGTCGATTATTTTTAAGTATATAAAAACATTTCTCCTGTATATTTGAAGATATTTTTCGTCCTATTGTATTGTATATATCAAGAATATTCCAAACATTTGTTTCATTAATATGATTATCATTTAATAAATATTGTTCACATAATTCATACAAATCATCCAAAAGAAATTTATCACTTAATTCTATATATTGTAATATATTATTTAATGTTAATTTTATTTCAGCTTTATATATATATGAATAAAGAAGATCAAAATCATTTTCATTTCGAAGAAATGAACTAAGATTAATTTCATTTTGAAATTTGTCATTAAAATTCCAATTAAATAATGTTTGAAAATAAGATGAACGTGCTGATAATATGGCACGATGACATTTATATGTTTGATTGCAGTTACGAATCACTATATCACTAGTTTCAATTTGATTTACTATTGATTTCATATCGTCTAAAAATTTCTTTTCACAATTATTTATTCGATTATCTGACATATATTCATTTGAATCAATAGATAACATTTGTTGATCGATTTGTAATTTTTTCACAAGCCAATCATGTCTAATAAATAAAAAATTCAATATTAATTCATTCAATTTGTGTCAAACATTGTATAGAAGTTGTCTGTAATAAGTGACCTTCTCACGAAGAAACGTTTTCAACTGATAAATCGCTTTTAAATTAGGACTCCATACAACACGTAGCCTCCAGTGACATTAGAAAAACTTCGAAAGAATAATTTTTCTTACGCCTTCTATCCAGCGTTATAAGCGTTCAATTGACAAATAGACCTGCCTCTGGGTAAGATAGCAGATCAAACTACCTGCATTCGAGGTATGCCTGATTAATGTCGAAAAGTTTGAAGACGGCAACAGTAAGATCTTAGTAGAGGTAATGTCGTCGGAGAAAGCAAAAATTGTTGAAATTAAGTTTTTAATAATTTTACACAAACAGCAATTTAACAAAAAATATCTAACAATCAATCATTTTTTATGAATTTTTTTTGTTTTATCCTTAGCAACAACAAACGATAAACCTTCTAAATATTCTCCTAAATTGATTTCATTATTTGCATAATGATCAGGAAGAGTAGTAATACGACGTTGTACACAATTTGTTCTTTTTGTCCCAGAGGAAGTGGTGATTAATTTATCTGTATCTATATTGTATGGGAGAATTTTGTATTGTGCATGCTATTAATTTAATTCACACTTGCGCCTCATACTCTTTGATTATTTGTCAAGTCGGCCAATTTTCATTCAACCATTTTTACAACATCAACTCTACTAAGATTTTACCCTTGCCGTGTTCAAACTTTTCGACATTTCTCAGTACATTCGCATTCGATTTGTTGGCGTATGTCATACCAGAAGTTATCATTAGAATCTACCTTATGCACCGAGTTCAAATTAAAAAGTAATTGATCAGTTGTAAACGCTCTCTTGTCAATAGATAAATATGCCACGCCGAAGAACGATGTAAATTAAGAGCAACTTAAACAAAGATGTACCGAACGAAGTTTTTAGGTTCTGAACCCGATGTAGAGAAAACTATGCCAGGATTTCTTAAGTCGACGACTAGCACTCTTTTGAGTCATCTCTCTTGAATTATGTTTTGATTGATATGTGTTATACTATAATTTGTTTAAAACTATAGAGTATTTGACAATAAACTTAACTCCCAGTCAAGAATGAGCATGGCAGAATAAATGAAAGTCTTTGTATTGTATATTTCATTTGGCAAATATAATCTTTTCTATTTTCTAACAATCAATAAAAGTTTTGGTGCCGATAATGGCAACTTTCCAGAAAAAAATAGTAGCTTTTTTAAAGTAATCAAAGTATCACTAAAAAAATATATTCGAATTGGAAATGCTCAGATTATGCTAAAACAAACTTCAAACTGATACCACGGTTGAAAAATAAAGTGGAAAACTTTACATCTATTTTTTGAAAAATTGTCGTCGCTGGATCCAATAATTTTAACAATTGTTAGAAAATAAAAAAGATTATACTTGACAAATGATATACACAATAGACAGACCTCCATTCATGCTGCCGCAGTCATTAGAATGTCGAAATACTATTCATCTCAAAAGAGGGTATTCTTTGCGAAATATTAAATTTACGAAAAATATGACATTCTCGCTAATTTCATGGAATATAAGTGTTTTTGGGAAATCTAATATCTTTTGAAGCAAACATTCTATTGAGCTAGAAACTTCACAGCATCCTAGTTAGAAATCGACCTGTCTATAGGTAACATTTCCGGGACAAACTGTCCCAGAAATTTGACTTCTTGTTTTGTCCTATACGGTTAGCTAAAATCCCAGTAAGACAATTATAACTTTGTAGAGATGAAGTAAATTGTTTTCGGAGTTTTCATTTCCCTAATGTTGACCTTATACATTATATCCGAAGTCAAAATCGATTATTCACATAAGCCGATTCGATTGTTCGCTATGAATAGTGATCTTTTAGTTGTTATCTATGCAAAAAAAAAAATATTAAAACGACAAAGCCAATCATTTTATATTCTTAAATAACTTGTGATTAAAACCAATCGGATACGAAATTTCCCAATTGGAATTGAATAGTTGCTCGGAAGATACGGGATACTTCTTCCAGATTTCTCGCATTCGATGACTAGCGCACCCTACACATTTCTTGGACGACTAGAGACCATCAGGTACAAAATTTTCATATCCGAACCCAACGAGCTCTACATTTAACATTACCTTTTATTTATTTCATGATCATCATCGTACAATTTTTTCATTCAAAATTTGAAGATCAGTTTTATCGTATTTCTTACCGGACGTAAATCTTCTATCTCCTTCGACTTTATCTATCGAGAATCACTTTTTTTTCTCGAAATTTCGAGAACTTATAAAAATGTTTCCTCTTCTAATAAAGTCGTAGTCGGTAGTGAAAAACATTAAGAAAAAAAAAATTTTCTTTTCCTATCTTACCTGACAATAACCATAATACGTAAAGTATCTTTATAAATAAATTGATCAAGTTCATCAAGTGAACATAATTCAAGAATATTCAAATTTTCTGTTAACCATAAATGTTCTTTTAAACAAATACATTCACTTGATTTTGTTATCTGACTATTTTTTCTAAATATAATAGCTTTAAATGCAAGTAAATGTCCAGGTGTTAATGGTAAATTATTAAATTGTACAACAATACGAAATTTTGATTCTTGATATGTTGGTTGAATCATATAAGACCATGACCAATTCCAATGTTCATAAATTTCTGTTGTTAAATAATTTGAATACATTCGACGAAGTAAACCAAAATTTTCTAAGATTATTTCATTTGTATATTTTTCAGATTTTGTACAAAATGAATTTATTGTATTTGCATATTTTGACATTGATTAATAAAGATAAAACAAAAGAATTTATTTCATAAATGACTAGTTTTTGTGAAATGAGACAAAAAACAAACTAGAAGAAAGAATGAATTGGTTAAAATATGGAATGGATAATATTTCATTGATCGAAGTTTTCAACCAATCAGATTTATTCTCAATAGATAGATAGAAAGAAAGAACGAAGAGAAATGTGTGGGTTCTTATCGATGACAAATTGTTTGCAATTATGATTATGTTGATTTGAATTGTTGCACAATTTTTTTTGCACATTAAACGGAATATTCCAATTAGGGTTCTTTTTATTGAGTGAATATTTGTGTAAAATGAAACAGAGAGAGGCAAAAAAAAAAGTATTGTTTAATATTATTGGATTCGCTTATCAGGCATCATAAATCACTTGATCCGTGAGGGAACGGTAGGAAAAAAATTTACTGATGAATACAAGATTTCTATAGTCAACGAATCGAATTACAACATTGATGATCTAAGTAATGTTATGAATAATTAATTTATTGATTTGTTCTATCAAACAATATTCGGCAATTTTTCAACATCATCACTATCGCAAAAGAATTACGTCATACAAAAAAGCCTCGAAAATGAGTAAGAAACTGTAGGTCGAATGATTGATTGTTCGTCGAAAATTAGTATTTAAAACGCCGTATATGCGGATTGTTGAAAAGGATAAATAGTATTTGCAACTGTTTTAGTAATGTTCGACCAGCAACTACTTTCCATTAAAACTGCTCAATGGATTTCAATGATTTAAAATCAAGTGGACCCGAAAGATCGTTGAGTTTATTTATAGTAAATGTAGGAGTTGTGTCTATATTTAGTGCTATTAATGATATGTCATCGATCATTTTCTATAGATCGCCCAATGATCAAGCAGTTGTCTGTGTGCCAACGGAATGTTCTTAACTGTCAAACCACATTTTCATTTGAAACTATTGTCATTCGATTAGTCATGGTGAATAGTTAAAAAAAAAG